AGGTCTGGGGGGGTTTGCTCATTGTTCTGATGAGCCTCTCTCGTGTTGACCAGACCATTCGCTAGAAGGTGAAGGGACGACGACGTTTCGGTCCGTCCTGGACCATTCTCAAGTCGATGACCAGCCTCTCTCGTCTTGGGGCCTCGTACAGAAATGAGGCGAGTAGGACACCTAGTGGAGAGCCCTTTGCTGCTCCGTCAATGTGTGTGGGGCAAGTCTTCCCTGGAGGTGGTGAAAGAGGACATCTTTGTGCACAGAATGCTGCTAAGAACGGCTTCTGGAATAACCGGTTTTAGTGGCGAGTGGTCTTGGTAGACTTAGTTCATAGTTAGGTTGATTGTAGGTGAATAGGAATTCAGCATCAAGTGAGGCAATTACACCATCTATGTGTGTCTGGGTGCGTGCGTGCGTGCGTGTCTTCCCGCTTGCGTTTGCCTCCTACTCCCACTTGCTCCTTCATGTTAGAGGAGAGTTGGATCTCAAGTCAGCCGCCAAATCAATTTGAGAGCGTTACCAACGTCCGTTAAATTAGTTTCCAAATGTGTCTCTGGTTCCAACCTATTCCAAGACTCGCTATCAGTTGCTCCACCGGCTTCAGGGCTCCACATCTCTTGTGCTCTCGGCTCACTCCCTCTCAGAGCCGTTAGTCTCGGATTCCACGTATATCACAGCCTTCTAAACGTTATTACCAATTGAGTGGTTGCTAACCTCTCTCTCTCTCTCTCTCTCTCTCTCTCTCTCTCTCTCTCTCTCTCTCTCTCTCTCTCTCTCTCTCTCTCTCTCTCTCTCTCTCTCTCCCTTGTAAAGGTGTCTGGCACCTGCTCAACCTATGTCAGTCACGTTTATTAAACATTGGTACAACGTACTTCCTGGATGTCATTCTGTTGCTCCCACTCCATTGAATATTTATATCTAGCTGTAGTCAATATACTAAATATACATTAATTCTTACTAATAATGCTATTAGTTTCCAAAGAGGTCATAAGCTTGAGAGATACTTAAATACAAAATATTACGTCTGAGAAGTGAATTACCTGGTGAATTGCCAAAGTGTTTTCTCTGGGAACCTGCAGGTCAGCCACTCACGAATGGGTTGTGTAGGTTCGAGTCCTGGCTATGGAGGATTGTCTGGGCATCATGCTGTAAATGTTAGCCTCTGTTCACTCAGTAGTAATTTGGTACCTGGTTGTCAACCAATTGGCGAGTCGTGTTGTAGGGGAAACTAATGGGTAAGGCTTACCATGAACTCTGGGTAGGTCGTCTTAAGGGGGGAAGTCTTTAAGCAGGTTCTGAGCCTGCTTAAAGGGAGTCAAAAGTCGTCTGTTCCTGTACTCGTGTGAAAACTAAAATAACCAGGCTTCGTCTCCCCAAAAATGAGAAGCCAATAATCAAATTATGAGTATTGAATGATCGACGTCGATAACGTTGATTCAACGTGAATTGAACATAGATTACGTTGATTAAATGTTTCTCCAACATGTTTTGTCCACTGGGAGAGAGAGAACGGGAGAGATAAAGGGGAAAGAGAATGGATGGGGAAAATGGTAGAATGAGAGAGGGAGGGAGACTGCGAAGTTAGGAGGAAGGGAGAATGGGAGGTAGGTAAGGAGGCGGAGAGATCGGGAGGGAGATGGAGAGCGAAACAAATTTGACTATATATATATATATATATATATATATGTCGTACCTAGTAGCCAGAACTCACTTCTCAGCCTACTATTCAAGGCCCGATTTGCCTAATAAGCCAAGTTTTCCTGAATTATTATATTTACTATAATTTTTTCTTATGAAATGATAAAGCAACCCTTTTCTCTATGTATGAGGTCAATTTTTTTTTATTAGAGTTAAAATTAACGTAGATATATGACCGAACCTAACCAACCCTACCTAACCTAACCTAACCTATATTTATAGGAAAGGTTAGGTTAGGTAGCCAAAAAAAGCTAGGTTAGGTTAGGTTAGGTAGGTTAGGTAGACGAAAAAACATTAATTCATGAAAACTTGGCTTATTAGGCAAATCGGGCCTTGAATAGTAGGCTGAGAAGTGCGTTCTGGCTATTAGGTACGACATATATATATATATATATATATATATATATATATATATATATATATATATATATATATATATATATATATGTCGTACCTAGTAGCCAGAACTCACTTCTCAGCCTACTATGCAAGGCCCAATTTGCCTAATAAGCCAAGTTTTCATGAATTAATTGTTTTTCGACTACCTAACCTAACCTAACCTAACTTTTTCCGCTACCTAACCTAACCTAATCTATAAAGATAGGTTAGGTAGGGTTGGTTAGGTTTGGTCATATATCTACGTTAATTTAAACTCCAATAAAAAAAAATTGACCTCATACATAATGAAATGGTTAGATTTATCATTTCATAAGAAAAAAATTAGAGAAAATATATTAATTCAGGAAAACTTGGCTTATTAGGCAAATCGGGCCTTGCATAGTAGGCCGATAAGTGCGTTCTGGCTATTAGGTACGACATTATATATATATATATATATATATATATATATATATATATATATATATATATATATATATAATATAATATAATATACACAACCAAGCAGGAGCCGCGGCGACACACAGAAAAAGGTACAAGTCAGCCAAGTACAGGGAATTAGATCATCGGTACAACTTCGTTCCAATAGAGTCTGAGACTCTAGGCCCATGGGGAGAGAGTGCAAGAAGGTTTCTTAAGGATCTTGGTTCCAAGCTCGATGTCCCATTGTCGGTGACAGGAAGACTGTTTGGTTTGTCGAGGTAATCCTTGGTCAAGGAGGGAAGTACCCCAAGATGCATCCCATTAACTCCCGTGTACCGATTTATAAATAGGTGAAGAAAGGCATCAGGTGAAAGTCCCCCAAAACGTTTCTCTCGTGCCACAGGAATCGCCCCCGCGACCTAATCACACTTGACTGCTGCTCCTCAGGGCTAATTGCGTTCTAAACCATGAAGTCATCTACGGTTTTCTTTAAGCGAAACAATCTTTAAAGGTTCAAAGAGTAACCACCCACTTTGGCAGATCTTGGTTGGTGTGTGTGTGTGTGTATATGTGTGTTTGTGTGTGTGTGTGTGTATATGTGTGTTTGTGTGTGTGTGTGTAATTACCTAAGTGTAGTTACAGGATGAGAGCTACGCTCGAGGTGTCCCTCGTCTTCCCAGCACTCTTTGTCATATAACGCTTTGAAACTACTGACGGTCTTGGCCTCCTCCACCACTTTCTCACCTAAAATGTTCCAACCGTCTACCACTCTGTTTGCGAAAGTGAATTTTCTAATATTTCTTCGGCATCTGTGTTTAGCTAGTTTAAATCTATGACCTCTATGTGTGTGTGTGTGTGTGTGTGTGTGTGTGTGTGTGTGTGTGTGTGTGTGTGTGTGTGTGTGTGTGTGTGTGTCCTACCCAAGCGGTACGCAGCTCTGGTATATATCATTCCTACCCAAGTAGTGGGAATGAAGGCGGAACGGCGCCTTTCAGTTTCGGCCCAAAGTGCCGTTCCGCCTTCATCAAATTTAGGGTCACTCTCGTATCGGGGTCAAGTCCCGCTTCCACAGTCATGACTAGTAGGCGTATTATCTTGATTTTTGGCAATGTCGGACGTTAGTTCTCGGACCCGCCTCAATATGTTGATATTTGTAGTTTCGTACGTATACATCCAATATTTACGAAATTTAGAACATAATTATTTAGGTGGGGGTATAAGGAAAGGACATAGTTCTTGGGCTCCACCTCTCGTTCCAAGCTGTAGTTCATCCTTATATTTTCTTAAGAATGTGGTATATTATTATGGAATTAAAAATAGAGATTCTTGTATTGCTATCAAGCATTACACCTGCAAGAAATGTATAAGTAATATGCAAGTAAAGTAATATTCAACACAAGTCTCACTCCCTCCCTCTCTCTCTGTCTCTCTCTGTCTCTCCCTTCTCCTTCCCCTACTATCTTCCCCCCTCCACCTCTCCCTTCTCTCCTCCACCACTCCATCCCACCTGCTCTGCCCTGTGCACGCCTCCACCTCCCTATACATCTCCGTGCACCCCCTGTGTGCACATACCTCCCCCCCCCTCCGTCACTGCCTCCCTGTGCCTCTCCCTCCTGTCAACTTTCCCGTCAAATTCAACATTGTTTTACCCCCCCCCCCCGCTTTCCCGTTCCTGTAGACTTGTCGATTTCCATTGTTAGTGAACTCCACTACTTAATTGGTGTTGATATTGTTAAGTAAAGGGTGGAATAAATGTCAATCCATATTGTTGACTCATGAAAATATAAAGAAACGCCAATATCACTGGTGAATGATTTTATATCTGATACCCTAAGGAGTCAAGGAAATTGACTCCTTCTGAAGATGTATTAATATACGAAAGTACTTAAGGAAATTCCTGTTTCATTTTTCCTCCGTGGTCTGACATTGTCACATTTTAATCACGTGTTTACTTTCGTGATATACACACACACACACACACATATATATATATATATATATATATATATATATATATATATATATATATATATATATATATATATATATATATATAATATTTACATATAATTGTATCTACGTATATATACCATCAGAGGTTAGGTGTTTCCAGTAGTAGAAGAGAGCGATGACAATTAAAAAAGCAACAGACTCAATATTTGTCATTCGTTATTGGATGCGCTGCAGGGCTGTGTTTGGGCAGCACTCTGCCGGCCGGCAATACCCGTGACAGGGCCGGCAGCAATAACGTTAGTGCGCTGTAATCACCTGTTTGCCATATAGACCCCCCAACATGAACAGGTTCACGTGAACAGGTGCGCATAAAATCCCACCGTTAGCGGGAGGTGGTCTCCCGCGCGCGCCTACAGCAGGCTCGTGAATAAGTTTCGAATGGTGGGTGAGAGTTGGTGGTTCATGGTACTGTTGTTATCGGTGTCTATGTCGGTATATTGAATAGTGCTACGGTGTTGATCTCTCGGTATACG